AGCTTCGTGGGCCGTCTTGGAGCGGTCTTGGGGGCCTCTTGGGCCGTCTTGGAGCGTCCGGAAGCCGAAAAAGCCAGAACACAAAAAACATCGAAAAAAAAAAACAAATGAAAATCAACGATTTTGGCCTCTTGGGGCTCTCTTCGGAGGCCTCTTGGAAGGCTCTTGGGGCGTCTTGGAGGCCTCTTGGGCTGTCTTGGGGGCCTTTTGGGCCGTCTTGGGGTCATCTTCGGCGTCTTCGAGCGCTCTTTGGGCGTCTCGGGGGCCTCTTGGGCAGTCTTGGGGGCCTCTTGGGGCACTCTGAGCGCGCTCTGGGGAGCCTGAGAGGCCGCACCCAGAAGGAAAACCATCTCTGAGTAGACTTGGTGGTCGGGCGGCGGTCGGGCGGCGACCGGGCGTTGGTCGGGGTACTTTTCGCCGGGGGACCCCCAGGGGCCGCCCCGCGCGCGCGAACTAGAAATACTGTTAATACTGTTAACCAGTTACCGGAGATCTTAGCACGCCCTGGCCCGTTGGGCCGGCGAATTTGAGTATTGTTGGTGCATGTCTGCATATGCTGGACTATTTTTGATTTGTCGTCCAAAATCCGCCTGTAGGGGGGCATAACCCGACCTAACCCGAGTCTTTGTTGTGACGGGCCCGAGGCCCAGCGAGGGCCCCGGCAGGCCGAGGACGGCCCAAATCCGGCCGCTCCAATGTTCCGGAGTTCGGGCGGGTGGTAATGGGGGGGCGACCTGAAGGGGGGGTGAAGCAAAGGGGCCCCAGAGGAGCCGTTTCGGGCCCCTTTTGGGCCCGTGCTGGCTCCCAGAGGGGCCTTAGAGGGACCCTTGAAGCCCCTTTTTCTCCACCCTCCATGTATATCACCTCCCATTACCACCCGCCCGACGTTCAGTGGCGGCATAACCGACCCCTAGCAAACCATCCACTTCCGTGACGTCCCCCTTGTCTCGCCCCAAGACGTATAGTTGCGACCGGAGGGAAATTCGAAAGGCGAGGGTGACGTCACTCGGTATCGTTTAACCGATCCCCATCCGCATCCCTATCCCCTTCGAGACCCCCACCAAATTACCACCCCAGTTGGGGATACACCCCTCGAAACCCGAAGAGAACGACCTACAACCCCATCCAGGGGGGTACATCGGCCAGTGGGGCCCAGGCCACGCCGCTGGGGATGGGGATCGGTTAAACGATACTCAGTTACAGAAGGGGATGGTTTGCTGGGGGTCGGTCAGGCCGCGCCCGAGGCGCGGGATCTTTGGGAAGATCGCTCCGTCGGGCTTCTTCGCGTCGGCGCGCGTGCCCCACCGCCGAGCCCCGCCGCTCGGGTGCCCCCACGCGGATCCGTAGGTGTGGGCGTCTGTGCGCGCATCAGAGACGCATCAGAGAGGGAGGATGGGGTTGGAGGAGGAGGAGGAGGACGAGCAGGAGGAGGAGGAGGAGGAGGAGGAGGAGGAGGAGGAGGAGGAGGAGAGGTGGAGAAGAGGAGGAGGAGGAGGAGGAAAAGGAGGAGGAGGGGAGGGGGAGGAGGGGGAGGAGGGGGAGGAGGATGAGGAGGAGGAGGAGGAGGGAGGAGGAGGAGGAGGAGGAGGAGAGAAGGAGGAGGAGGAGGGAGGAGGAGAGGGCTGGTAGGCGGAGGAAAGGGAAGAGGAGGAAGATGAGGAGGAGGAGAGGAGGAGGAGGAGGAGGAGGCGGAGAGGCTGGAGGAGGAGGAGAGGAGGAGGAGGAGGAGGGGGCTGGATGAGGAGGAGGAGGCGGAGGAGGAGGAGGGAGGAGGGAGGAGGAGGAGGAGGAGGGAGAGGAGGAGGAGGAGGAGGAGGAGGAGGAGGAGGAGGATGGGGCTGGAGGATGAGAAGGAGGGGCTGGAGGAGGATGGGGAGGAAGAGGAGGAGGGGCTGCAGGAGGAGGAGAAGGAGGAGGAGGAGGAGGAGGGCTGGAGAATGAGGGCTTGAGGAGGAGGAGAAGGAGGGGGAGGAGGAGGACCAGTGCAAACCCAGGAGTCATCAACGACGTTGGAATAAACCCTCCCTCCAAGCTCCCTTTCCATAGGCCCCTACAACGGTTCACTGCCACTGACGGAACTGCCTCGATGGAAGACCCTGACGCATGCCGAAACATTGTCTTCGAGAGTCCAACGCCACGGATCAACCTGACTGTTGCGTCTTGGCGATCCTGAATCGTGCCAGAACGCCATTCTTGGGACGTCAACACCGCGAATCAATTTCATTGTCGCACCCTCACACAATCCTGAACCCCTCCAGGACACAAATTCTGGTACTTTGACCATGTGAATCCGTGAAACTCTTGCAAAGTTTGAAAACTGATGTGCGCGGCGCTAAGGCGAGAGCCACAATTTGAAAAGGAACCGCCCTCAACCAGTGCAAGTATTGCATGCTTGTTAACAGATGTGCGCGGCGCGTAGGCGAGACCCACCTTTTGAAGACGGGTCGCCCTCAATACGCGAAGTTCTTGCAAATTGTCAAACACGAATGAGCGCGTTGCCAAGGCGAGCCACATTTTGAAAACGGGCCGTTCTCACCCCGTGAAACTCTTGCACATGTTTGAAACGAGAGTGCGCGGCGCTAGTGCGAGAGTCACAGTTTAATAGCGACCCGCCCTCAATCCGTAAAGCTCTGGCATTGTTTAAAACGATGTGCACGGCCCGAAGGCGAGAGCCACATTTTGAAAACGACCATCCGTCCATCTCTGAAACTGGTGTCACTTTTAAAGCTTGAGGGCCATAAGTGGTGAGGAAGTCTTAGGCGAAACACCCGGCCCGCCCTAAAAACTAGCCTCGGGGTGCGACAGGGAGAAGTTATTCATAAGGAACAGGAATGGAGGAGGAGGAGAAGGAGGAGGAGGAGGAAGAGTGGCTGGAGGCTGAGAGGGAGCATGAGCATGAGGAGGAGGAGGAGGAGGAGGAGGGGAAGGAAAAGGACGAGGACGAGGACAAGGCTGAGGAGGAGGAGGAGGAGGAGGAGGAGGAGGAGGAGGAGGAGGAGGGGGAGGACGAGGACGAGGGGGGGGAGGAGGAGGGAGGAGAGGAGGGGTAGGAGGAGAGAAGGAGGAGGAGGAGGAGGAGGAGGAGGAGGAGGAGGAGAGGATGAGGAGGAGTTGATTGAGGGGGAGGGGGCGCTGGAGGATGAGGATGAGGAGGAGGAGGAGGAGAAAGAGGAGGAGAAAGAGGAGGAGAAGGACGAGGAGGAGGAAGAGGAGCGTCACGAGAAGCAGGAGGAGGAGGCTTATCGGAGGGAAGGACCATCTGACGACGAGAAGAGTGACGACGAGTGACGAGTAACGGACCTCTCCGCTTCTCACGGCCCCCCAAGTTCTCCCCGTTAGTCTTGTCTTCGTCACATTTAGCTCCCCGGCACGTGTATGTACCGGGGCTTGCTTCGTCAGATCCAGCCCCCCCAGCAAGCGTATGTACCGGGGCTTGCGTTGTCACAGACAGCTGGCGGTATCATAATGTGAATGGGACGAGTATTCCGCGAAAAAAATGTTGTCCTCCTACCTCCTGGCAATCTTCATTTGGCTCCTCGTCCTACTCATCCTTTTCTCGACCTCCTCCCAGGTGCGGCTGCTACTCTATCTTGTGTTCCTGCTGCTCATACTTTCCCTGCCCTTCTTCCCTCCTCGCTGCTCCTGTATGTTCCCTTCTCCCTCCACCATCAGCCCTTTTGGTGTTCCTTTTTCTCCTCGCCCCCCTCCTCCATCGTTCCAAAGTGGTGGCCTAGTGGGTACAATGGGGTCGTCGCGCAAGTAGTATTCGCCTAGTGCCTAAGCGCATCTCATCGGCCTACTCCTCAGGACTCATGCTCCCCCTGCTGCTCCTCCTCATCCTTCCCCTTCTCCCTCCCTCTCTCCCCTCCCTCCCTCCCTCCCTCCCTCAGCTTCTGCCACAGACTATTCCAGAGGGCCTAAGGCTCCAAGACCTCTTCAGCGCATGCTGTTCCTCCGGTCCGGAAGCAGCTCTCTTGTAGTCTGAAGGATTGTCCATCCATTGTGGATTTGTTTGGGAGGGGCGTCTCTGGGGCGTCATCCACCTGATGCTGCTCCTTCTCCCCAGGTTCGGTAGGACGAACATGTCTCTAAGCTCGGTCTTCTGAGGGGCGGCATCTCGGGCCCCCTAGACCCGCAGCAGAGGCAGCCCGCTCCGCAGAAGCGGCTCGGGGGCCCGTGTCCCGCACCCAGGAGGGAAAACAGAGGAACGCACGACCTCGGAGCTGCGGGCCCCGTTCTCTCCTCCGGGCTCCGGGCTCCCCCCCTCCCGTCCCCGTCCGGGCGGAAGGGCGGCGGGAGCAGGCGAGCGACGCCAACGTTTCTGGATCCTCGGGAGTTTAGAGTGGGCCTCCCCCCTTCTCCTCCTCCTCCCCCTCTTCCTCCTCCTCCTCCTCCTCCTCCTCCTCCTCGTCCTCCTCCTCCTCCTCCTCCTCCTCGTCCTCCTCCTCCTCCTCCTCCTCCTCCTCCTCCTCCTCCTTCTCCCCCCTCTCCCGTCCCCGCGCCCCCCCTCTCGCGGCGGCCGCCGAGGCCCCAGGCCCTCCGCGGCCCTCCGCCCTCCGGGGCCGCGCGCGCCCCGCGGCGCGGCGCGGCCTCGCCCGCAGGAGGCCCCCCTCGGGGCACCGCCGACGCGGGGCACCGCCGGGTCGGCCCGCGGGCGGAGGGGAGCCCCGCCGGGGGGCCGTCGGCCGCGCCCCGCATATTCCGCGGGGCCGTCGTCGCGGGCGGCGCGCCGTGCTCCCCCTTTCCCCCCCCCCTCTCCCGCGGGGGAGGGTCACGGCGCCGCCCCTCCTCAGGGCCTCCCCTCCCCCCAGGAGAGGGGAGCCTCCTCCCCCCCAGGGGAGGGGAGGGGAGCCTCCTCCCCCCGCAGGGGAGGAGTGGAGGGGAGGGGAGGGAGCCTCCTCCCCCCCCGGGGAGGGGAGCCTCCTCCCCTCCCCTGGGGAGAAGAGGCTCCCCTCCTGGCGTGGCCGGGGGCCGTAGGGCCGCAGGGCCGCGGCGGGGAGGTACGAGCTCGCGCTGCAGCCCGGGGATCTGCTCCTCATGTACACCGACGGCAGCGCGCCTCGGCTGCCGGGGCATCCGCGGCGCAGACGCGGGAGCGGATCGAGGGGGGAGTGGCAGCGGTGGGTCTGAGGCGGGCGAGGGCGAGGGTGAGGGCGACGGCCAGTTAGAGGGACGAGGAGGAGGAGGAGGGGGAGTACGGTCGAGAATTTTCGGACAGCGTGTCGCGCCGTCGGGTCTGGCCCAGCACAGTGCAGCGCGACACGCTATCCGTTTCCCAGTCCCCAGGCTTCAATTTCCCGAGCTTGTCCGAGCATCCCGCCCGTCGGAGCGGAGCGGCACGCTATCCGCTTGCAGGGCATACCGTGTCGCCGGGGTCGCCGTGGCGATACGCCATGCACAAGTTCCCGTAGGATGATGATGATGATGATGCTGATGATGATGATGATGATGATGATGATGATGATGATGATGATGATGATGACGATGACGATGACGATGACGATGATGATGATGATGATGATGATGATGATGATGATGCTGATGATGATGATGGTGATGATGATGATGATAATGATGATACTGTTGATGCTGATGCTGATGATGATGGCGACGACGACGATGACGATGACGATGACGCTGATGCTGATGCTGATGCTGATGCTGATGATGCTGATACTGATGCTGATGCTGATGATGATGGTGATGATGATGATGCTGCTAATGATGATGTAGATGATGTTGAGGACGTTGATGATGCTGACGATGTTGATGCTGATGATGCTGATGATGATGCTGATGATGATGATGATGATGCTGACAATGATGTTGCTGATGCTGATGCTGATGCTGATGATGATGATGGTGATGGTGATGGTGATGATGATGATGATGCTGATGATGCTGATGAATGCTGATGCTGATGCTGATGCTGATGATGATGCTGATGATGATGATGATGATGATGATGATGATGATGATGATGATGATGATGATGATGATGAGGCGGAGGAGGAGGAGCAGGAGGAGGAGGTGGGGAGGAGGATTTGGATAATGACAGGGAGCATGCGGGATTGCTGGAGGAGAAGGAGGAGACGTGGGGAGCAGGAGGGTCAGAAGGAGGGGAGGAGGGACGAGGTGGAGAAGCAGGGGCCGCAGAGGAGGCGAAGGGTGTGGGCAGGTTGGGACGTGAGAAGGGGAACGATGTTCCCCTCCTCCCCTCTCATTATCATCCCTTTCATCCTTGACTTCTCCTCCTCCTCCTCCTTCTCCTCCTCCTCCTCCTCCTTCTCCTCCTCCCCTTCTTCTCCCCCCTCCCATCCTGTGCCTTCCTCATCCTGCCCTCCTCTACCTTCCGTTCTTCTTGGTGCCAAATGCGCTCTCCATCCTGCCCCTCCCCCTTGTCTGCGACGCAGTCCTCTTTGCAATCGTCCACGAGTCTCACCCCTCCTCCCATCCGCCTTCGCATCCTTCCCAACATCATCGTTATCCTTGTAAACCTCTTCCTTCTTCCACATGGCCCTTCTCATCCACTTCCTCCACCTCCTCGCCGCCTTCTCCCGCTTCACCCCTTCCCCCGCCTCCTCCGCTCCCCCCTGCTCTCTCCCTCTCCCCGCTCCCTCCTCGAAAGTTACCCCCCTCATCCTGGTCCCTCTGACTTCCGTGCGCCGCCGCCGCCTCCATCGGACTCGAGGAATTCGGCGCAAGCATGCGTTTGGGTGGCCACATCCGCGCAGCCAGGGGGTGCTCCAGCTTTGGCTCGCCCATGGCGCGCGCCCCCGGCCGGTAGAGACCCTGCGACGGTCTCCCCTCCCCGTGGGTCCATGGAGCCGCGCCCCGGCGCCACGGATTCCGAAGAGGCCATCCGCAACGACCTGGAGCGCACCTTCGCCGACCTGCGCATGGTGGCCCCCCGGAAGCCGCAGATCTTCCGCATCCTGCAGCAGTACGCCGTCTGCTGGGCCTGCTTTCCGCCACCACCACCACCACCACCACCACAAGATGGAAAGGGAGGGGGTCCTCCTCTTCCTCCTCCTCCTCCTCCCTCCTCCTCCTCCTCCTCCTCCTCCTCCTCCTCCTCCTCCTCCTGCTCCTCCTCCCCCTCGTCCTGCCCTCCTCGTCCTCCTCCTCGTCCTGTCCTCCAACTCATGGTGGTGCTGGTGGAAAACGGGCCCATCGCCATCGACAACCCGGACATCGGGTACACGCAGGGCATGAACTACGTTGCGGCCACCATGGCGCTGAAGTTCCCGGACCGCGAAGACCTGGCCCGGCGCCGCTTCGCGGAGGCCATGCTCCAGTTCAGCGGCTTTTGGTCGGACGGCTTCCCGCTCCTGAGTTTCGGCGTGCACCTCTTCTCGCAGCTCGCCGAGCGGCACCTGCACGACCTCTGGACGCATCTCGTCTGCAGCGGCGTGGAGCCGCTGAGCTACCTGCCGAACGGCTGGCTGTCGCTCTTCGGCAAGTGGTTGCCGCTGCCCGCGGTCATGGAGGCCATGGACCTGGTGCTGGAGTGCGGCATCCGAGGCGTGCTCGCGGTCACCCTGGCGACCTTCCAGATCCAGCAGAACCGGCTCATGTCGGCCAACGGCATGGAGGATCTGCTTGAGCTGATCAACCAGGACATCCGGAGGCCCAGACGCTGGCACCAGCACCAATTCCCTATGGGCCGCGTCGCGTCTGTGAAGAAGCTTGCGACTCTGAGGCCATTTTCTAATCCATCCAAGGGATAACACGTGTTACCCCCCCCCTGCCCCCCCTCCCCCCCGTAACAGTAACGCCCTGGCCCGGTCCCATGCGTTCTTAGGCCTCCAAGATCGCCCTAAGAGGCCTCTCGGGCCTCTTAGGGCGATCTTGGAGGCCTATTGGGCCGTCTTGGGGCGTCGCGATGCCGAAAAGGTGGAAACGACAAAATCTCCCCAAAACCTAAGGAGAAACAATGAATTTTGCTTCTTGGGGCCCTCTTGGGAGTCTCTTGGGGCTCCTTGGCGGCGTGTTGGGGGCCCCCAGGGCCTCTTGAAGGGGCTCTTGGAGGCCTCTTACGGCGGGAGGGGGGGCAGTTGATTGCGGCTCCCCCCTCGGAGGCCACGATCCTCGTGAGGGGTGTCGAAAAATGGCCCTCCCCTGGAGTGCTCTGGTGGCTCCTCCCGGGACCTTGCCAGGGTATTTCTCGTCTGGGGACCCCCAGGGGCCGCCCCGCGCGCGCGAACTAGAAATACTGTGAACCCGTTACCGGAGATCTTAGCACGCCTCTGGCCCGTTGGGCCGGCGAATTTGGGCCAGGGCTTCGAAACGGCCTCCCGAGGCTAGAGGCTAAAGGCGTCCAACAACTTGCTGCCGCGATTTGTTTTTCTGTTCTCGCCGCTTGGATCTGAGGGCAGGTGCTGGCGCCAACTTCCTGGGGCCCCCAAGACCCCAGATCACCCTCCCCAGAAATTGTCGGTAACGGATCTCGGTCGCACCGGATTTCGGTCGCGACTGGAGGGGGGTCGAGCTTCGGTTACGGGAAGAGACGACGCGTCGTGGTCCAAGTGAGGGCTTCGAAGACGTAGTGGCGGCTCGCTCGGTAACGAAGTGACGGCTCGCTCGGTAAAGGCGCGACCGGAGGCCGAACTTCGGTCGCGACCAGCTCGTCCGGCTCAGGGGCAACGATAGGGGGGGATGGGCTTAGTAGGGGGGGATGCATCCCCATTCGCCCATTGATCGCCGACCGATAGGTGCCCGATCGCCCCAACCCGCCCAGGAAGGCGCGGTTTCGCTGTCGGGGGCCTCCGCCGCCGATTTGTCGACCATGTACCGCTGATTGCAGATCGATGCATCCCCCCCTTTTGCCGGTCCCCCCCTCTCTGCCCCTCACCGGAGCGTCGCCGGAAGTTCTCGGGAACGGCCGATCTGGGACGTGCGCACCTCTCCGCTCGATGGGGAGCTCATCGTGCAGCTGGCGCGGCTCTGGCTCCCGCGCGTGGACGAGGCGCTGCAGGACCTCTCTCCGGCGTGACGCGGGGGCCGGCCCGCGCGCGTGACGCTGCGCGCATGGGCGCGCCGGCGCGCCATGACTGTGGCCCCGCCCGGCTAGCAACTCGATGCCGCGAAGCCCGCGCGCGGGCCGGCAGCAGCGCCCTGCTGGGGGGCGAGGCGCGCCGGGGCGCCGCGCCGGGGCGCCGAGCCGGCGCGCCCGGCACGAACGCCCGCGGACCCACGCGCGCGGCCTCTTCGCCGCGGGCAGGCCCGGTGCTGCGGGCGCGGGCGGCCCCGCGCGGCGGGGAGCTCCCTGTGGCGGCGGGCGCGGCTCATGGCCCGCCGCGCGTGGGCGGGGCGCTGCAGGAGGCCTCCTTGGCGTGGCGCCGGGGCGGGGCCCCGTGCGCTGCGGGTGCGGGCGGCTCGCCGAGCCACGCGCGGGCCGCAGGGGTCCACCGCCCCTGCCTCAGACCCAGACCCCCTCGAGTCATGAAACAATCACGACGGGAGTGTTTGCCATATTTTCGGCCTCGGGGGGCCCCTTCCGGGCCTCGGGACCGTCAAAGAACGACTCAGGACGACAAGCCGGTCCCGGGGAATGGGTCCAGACCTCTTGGGGTCGACCTCGTGAAAAAATCATGACGTCGGAGGTCTGGGGAGGAGGAAAAGGCACCCATACCGTTACCCTTCCCTCGCTTTCCCCTTGCTGGGCCTCCTGGGAGGCCCTCGTCGCCACCGCTGGATTCGCCCCGAGATTCTGGTCGGGACGCACCCCGGGAGAGGTCTGGGGAGAAGCGGCATCGGTGCCTTTTGGTTTCCCCACGGCCGCCCTGCGTCCGGCAGCACAAGTCGCTGCGCTGTATCCGACCCCGAGCAGGCCGCAGGCCGTCGCGGAGCGCGGCGAAGAGGCCGCTTTGGCGGAGAGGGTCGGTCGGTGGGAAGTCAAGGGCGCCGTGCGTGTCTTCGCAAGTCCGTCTTTCGGGTGCATTCGCGTGCGCCAGGTTGCGTCGATTAGCGTCGACTTAGCATCGATGCGCGCTGGTGAGCGTCGATTGGCGTCGGCTAGCGTCGGTTAGCGTTGACTCGCAGGAGCTAGTAAGATGGCATGGCAGGCTCCCATGAGCTGCCACCGAAGAGGTGACGTCGCCGAGGGAGGATCGATGCGTGATATCCGACCCCCTCGCGGCGCAAGTTTGTTCGGCCTTTGTCTCCGAGGCGGGGTGATGCCTTTTCCAGAGCCGCCGCCTGGGGGATCGATCTTCGAGTGCCTCGGTAGACGGTGGATACGGATGGATTCGGGGGCCCTGGGGCCGAAAGACAAACATGTCCACCGCCCGCTCGGGTCCTGATCAGGACATCGGTCCCACAGGCGGCGGACATGGATAGATTGCCGCTTCGCATTTTTGGGGCCCTCGTGGGCCCTCGCCGAGTCCCGGGCTCCGAACCAAGCCTCAGGTTGGCTCTGGAGGCGGGGGCCACAACTCGGCAAGGTTTTTGTGATGGAGTGGCATGCCCCTTGCCAGCCCCCCCTCTCTGCGATGTAGATGTGGCTCATAATTAAGCATTTTGCGACAGAGAGTTGTCACCATTATGTCTAGCAGAGGCAGTCATGTTGATTGGGTGAGTGGCCGATTATCATCCAACCAATCAGTCGCGACGGCAGTTAGTCTGGCCTTTTCGGCCTCTGGGGGCCCTCGCTGGGCCCCGGGACCGTCAGACAATTGTTCGAGATGAAGAATTGGTCCCAGGGAGTGGGTCAGGATCCTCGGGGCTTGGCCAGAAGAAGAAAATCAATTGCGTAAACCGTAAACATCAGCTTTCGGATGTCCGCGCGGACTTCTTGGATCGGCGCTGGGTGTGCCTTGGTGGCACCTCCGGCACCGCCCCTGGCGCGCTCCGCGCGCCAGGAAAGGGGTTCAGCGCCCATCCAAGGAATCCGCACGATCCCCCCAATGGTGTTTTGTTTATGCACGTGTGCTTTCTTCTAGTCTCGGAGGCCTGGAGGTTGACACAAATTCCGAAAGAAGCTGGGCATGTCCCTCTATAGGAGGAATATTCCAGAATAGTAAACATGATATGGTGACGATGTTCCGTGCTCTTTCGACTGTTTTTGATTGTTGTTTGACCCTGTGTAATTGTTCCTTCCAGACCTCGCCCGTACAGGAGGAAATGCACAACCCACATCTAGGATCATCTTCCCCTGGTGGAGGCCACCCCCTGCGCTGGTCTTGGTGCAGACCTCCGAGCTTCCGGTCGTCGAGTTGCCCCTGCCCCTCGGCGGTCCTCTCGCGTCTGCCCCCCCGGGCCGGGTGTCTTGGCCGTCGGATGGGCTCCTCGCCGCCGCGGCCAGGCGCGGAGAGCGGGCCGGGAGTGCTCGAGGGAGGGGCCTGAGCGCGGATGTGAGCCAGGCCCTGGCCCGGGCCGAGGACGTTCTTCTGGGGGCTCCGGGGATACCCCGGCTCGTTCGGAGGCGAGACAGAGGAAAGGCATACACAGAAGTCTTCGACAGTCCGCGCGGAGTTGGATCCGCGCTGGGCCCCCTTCTGGCGGCGCCTCCAGCGCCGCCCCTGGCGCGCTCCGCGCGCCAGGGAGGGGGGGCCAGCGCGGATCCAAGGAATCCGCGCGGACCGTCGAAAGCTTATGTTTGTGCCGTTTTCTCTTCCTCTGAGGAGGTTGTTTCTTTGGGGGGGGGTCCGGCGATACCCCTAGTTATGGTGTCCACCTGCCCTAACCCTGCCCCCCCTCCCACAGATAACCCGACCTTGTCGGTTGCGCAGGTCCGAAGGGCTATGTACGCAGTAGTAGTCTGCGCGGGCATGTGTGGGGGTGCCCTAAGCGAAAAGGTTGGGCGATCGGCTGGCAACTCACTCCTTCCCACCGGATAACCCCGGCTATCGCCGTAGAACCAGAAACGGCCTCAAGAGGCGTTTAGTTCGACGTAGTTGTTTTGAGGCATTCGTCGAGAGGCAGAGGAGAATCGCCTACTCGTTCTTGACCACCAGTTCATCCCTGGACCCCGTCACTCCACTCTTATTGATTATCGTATTTTGTTATGCTGGTCTGCGTCTCTAATACTGTTGTTGCGCGTTCCGCTTGAGGGGCGAATCGGACGATGAGGGGCATGAGGGGAGAAGATGAAAACGACAAATTGAGGAGGAGGAGAAGGATGAGGAAGAGGGGGGAGGAGGAAGAGATGAGGGAGCAGGGGGAGTACGACGAGGAGAAGGAGGAGGAGGAGGACGACGATGACAACTAGGACAAGGACCGAGGTCGAGGAGATGACTGAGATGAGGATGAGATCGGAGGGAGGAGGAATAAATAGGGGCGGAGGAGCAGAAGCAGAGGCAGAAGGAGGAAGGGGACGAGGATAGGATTCGGGTTGGTGCGGAGAAGGAGGAGGATACCAGGGGGGGAGAAGCGGGGGCCGGGTAGGGGGAAAGGAGGGAGGGAGTAGGTGAGGAGGGGAGAAGAAGGGGGATGAGGAGGAGAAGGGCAAGGGTGAGGCGGGGGGGGGGGCTAGCCCAGGGGGGAATGAGCAGGAGGCACGGACGGAGGGTAACGAATGCGGAGGGGGGCGGAGGAGGAAAATGCGGAGGGGGGAGGAACAGCAGCAGCTGCAGCAGGCTGCAGTCGTTGAGCAGCATGAGGAGGGCGGCAGGAGACGTGACGGCGGGGACGGGGGCGGGGGGAGAGGCCGGAAGGAAGGCGGAGGATGGGCGGTGGAGTTCTGCTTCTCTCTCTCTCTCT